GTCCACAAGGTCGAAAACTTAGGATAGAAATCATGGTGTTCTTCTCAAAAGTTCCTGAATATTCGCAACGATAAACAAGGGAACTCGAGAGTGAACTTTTACAACAGTAATTCCTGGTGACCGAGTTCACCTTTTGTATCTAGATTTTGTAGGGGACATTTGTTTGTGTTTTAATTAGGTTTTTCCAATTAGTACTTGCAAACCAGGATGATCACTTGGACATTCTCATGCGAGACAGAAGTGATACTGAGTAGCTCCGAAAGTTGTCATTTTACCTTCACGAAGTGCGACTTAATAGCCATTTGCAACGTCAAAATTAAGTACCTATCACTTAATTAAAGTTAAAACCATAAGTTAAATGCCATAGCAACGATTGTCTTAATAATCGTTGCCTTAGATTTTAAGTTCGACTTAACTTTAAGCAAGGGTTAATTTTGATGGTGCAACTGGGCATTAGTGTCTTATTCAGGTGATTGGAGAAAAATAATTTTTCGCTTTGATCGATTAGCTCGAGATTATTGGAATTTTCTTGCCACCTGCACCTAGCTAGTCTGAAAATTGTTGCTTCGTAACTTTCGTTTAATCTTTAATGAAACATTAATTTTTGTAAATCGTTTGTAAAGAATTATTTTTGTAGTTTAGTAATTTAACGAGAAGTTCTCGTGGCGATACCATTCTATTTTAAAGTTGTTTATTGCTGATCAAGATTAGTCCTCGATAGACCAAAATTATGAAACACGCAATTTTAATTTTGGAATTACCGCGGCGAGGTTGGGTGCGACCTTGACGTCTAATTACACCTGTAGCATCCCGACAGGAAAATAAATTTTCGATTTTCGTTGCTAATGAAAATTATAGTCTTTAATTACACCAAAATGACATGACGGAATGAGAAAGGATAAGCTGAAAAAATAAAAAATCTTGTCAAATCCGAAAGGTTAGGTAATGCGATATGACCAAAATATTGATTGTGGTATATTTTCCTAGTTTTACTTTTTATTTTCCCAGTGCTTTATATATTTGAACTTGTTCCCAACAAAGGATCTAAAAAACAGCACAATATGCAGGTGACGTCTAATTGAAGTGAACAACTCCTCCCAAAAAAAAACGCTTTTTTTTCACACTTCCCGTAATCACGAAATGAAAGAAAGAACATTTTTGTTAAAACTTGCAATCACAGCAATTTAGTGATAAGCGCACGTGGCCAAATTCGTTGTGTAATTGATGTTTACTTGTTTGTTTACAAAAAAAAGTAACTACAAAGAATTTAGAAACCTTTACTCCAATTCTAGGGCTATTAGGCGAAGGTCGTACTTTTACTCACTTCTTAAAGTAAAATAATCGATCAATCTAAGACTAAAAAAATGTTATTAAGTGCAACAATTCACAAGACCTTGCTTTCGTCAACTTTCACGCGACATTTATTAATTAAATCGCTTCTGGTGTGGATTTTGTAAATTTTAATTCCGTTTGTATTTTACAACAAATACGCAAAAAACAATACCTCATTTAGAGCCACTTTTGCTTCGGTTAATTTTAACCACAACATAACGATGCTGGATACAATGGAAATTAACTACGGTTGTAACTTGGGCCCTTAGATCGTCATTTATTTACCTACGTAGCAGGTTTGAAATACCAGCTATCTATTTCTGATAATTTGTAATTATCAATATGTTGTGTTTTTTTGGTAAAAATACCACACATTCTCAAAACCACCTAATCTTAATTCTAATCTTATCAAACATTATTGACGAGTGTATATTTTACGTTTTACTTTTCGCTACCCTCAAAATCGTTACAAAAAATGTCCACTGTAGAGTTGAATAACCCTTAAGCGAACGGCAGGGTCCGTAATTGAGTTCGACATTCTTAAAAAACCTTTCTCGCGAAAATGATCGAAATCGATAGAATTGAATAATAAATACAATACGTACCATTGCGAAATTGATTAAAATCCGTTAAATTGCCGAAAAAATAACTTGACACAAACAAATTCACCGAATCGTTAAAAATAGTTCACAATATTGCAGTAAGGAAGGAGGAAAACATGCGAATGCGATATGTAGTAAGAGTAACCGGCTTGTTTCTCATATAATAATACCACGTGGCTATGGTGTTCACGCTGGCAATCGGCGATTTCTGAATTCGTCAGATATCGCGCGCAGGTCTGTACTAACTCAACTTCACGTGGCAATGTGTACCATACGGCGACATTTACGATCGAATCAACGTGTCAACCAAATTTTGGATTTAAAAAAAAGCATCGAGCCGATCCGTGAAACAAAGGTGAAAGATTGTCGGAAAAATGACGAAATTTAGTCATTTTAAATGTCAGGGATCACCGACGGGTCCGAAATGTCATCGGAATTCGATAACATTACATAAAATGGTACAAATCCCTATTACCCTAATAATGCACGTGTAAAACGGATAAGGTTAGCTTGCTTAGTGGATGGTGTTTATTGAAGCGGTCAAAAACTAGGAATAAGTAAATAATTGTTTCATCATGGGTACATAATTTGTAAGGTCAATCCGAATAATTCAAATAAAACATGAAGAAATACAAATAATTAATAAACTAGTGTTTGGAATTTGATACAATGAAAAACTAACTCGTATAATGGATCGAAATCATCGATTGATAAATGTTAACAATTGAACTTTGAGAAGACTACTCAGAATCGGTGTTACATACCATTACCGAGATCTCTTTATACCGGGTGAATACTTTCAAACCGACCATAGGGAATTGATATGGGAAAACAGTTTTTCGCAGCTTGTTGCTCCCCAAATTAACTTAGAGGGTTCATAATGGCATCACTGGAAAGAAGATCAAGTAGCCATGACCCGTAGATTTAAGCATCCGGAATTGTCAAATTGAAAAACTATCTGTCGAATTGTCGATATTGACGGAATGGAGGTCTGATTAAATTCCACGGAAAATAAATCTGCGGTAACTATTACCGCCGTAAACGTTTTTTTACAATAAACACTTTTTCCTCAATGGAATACATCGTAAGTTTTGTAGTAAGTACCAATTAAAATTATTGACAGTTATCGTACCTTGTTTTCATGACTACCGCGATTTTTTAAACCAAGTACACAGTTTGACTACCTAATTTCGCAAAATAATAATTAACCGTGCAACTAGACTTCTTTCCAATGGTGGCATTATGATTAATTTGAGGAGCAACAAGCTGCCAAAAACTGCTTTCCCATGTTAATTCCCTATGTTCGAAATACCCGTATTACTGAACAAATCTTTCCATAGAAATTTGAGAGTTTGGTTCGTTTTGTCAGCCAAGAGAATCTGTTCCGAGACCCAGGAATGAAAACGAGATTGAAATCAAAATCCTAATTTCCGTTCAAATATCATATTTACTGATGAGTGTAATATTACAAATGGTCATAATGAACACGTCTGATCCAATGAGAACCCTCATGAACATCAAGGGCGTCGACGGCTTACGAAAAAAAATGATTACCCTCGCGTAAAATTTGATAAAGACAACACATTCGTATACAGTAACCTCAGAACAATTGACGTTTCCATCAACCTACTTGTCAATTGAAATGTGTTTATATCATTCTTTTTGTTACTTATTGTTCCGTGCTCGGTTCCGTGTTTATTACATTGCTTTTGTTGTTCGAGTTTGCTCAAATAGTTTAATTGAAATCTAAGAAATAATTTAAAAATGGGATACACCTTAGCTGAAAGAAGTCCTACACATACTACAGAAATTTTTAAGAACAATTTGCATGGTTTTGATAATCATTTTATGCTTTTCGCCCACCTCACGTGTTAACTAACACCTGCTAAATTTAAAAAAAGCAGCTTTTTACGATTTCCGAGTGCCGAGATCTCAAACTCTCAGACTGAAGGACGAACGAACGGAATTCATTCATTTGGTGATTTTAAAAAAAAAGGCTTTTTAAATTTTATGACATCCAAAATTAAAAAATTTGTAATCCGTGACACACTTCTGCATGGCCAAGGAGAGGGGGCAGCAAGCTCTAAATCCGGTCGTGAGTAAGGAGGTTGAGTGAATTACTCAATGGTAAGTATGTATGTCTAATTGGGTAAACAAATGACAATAAGTAGATGCTCTGTTAACACAGAGGATTCCTGATCTAAGTTCATGCTTGGAAAAGCAAATTTTGGGAATTATATCAGGATGGTGTAGCAATCCCTGGTTTAAACACAAAAGGCATATAAAACATCTGAGCCACATTACTGTTGACCCTAACCGTGTTATGACATTATGTGTTCATGTGTACTGTTCTATCATATCAATTGGGCGATGAACTTTTAAGAATAAATAAAGCAAACCTACAACCATAATATTCAGTGAATTCTTGAGGGGTTGTAGCTTTTGTAGAGTGAATTCAGCTAAGAATATTATACGATCTGTAAACACTACATCAATCGCTAGTACTAATTACTATGCGATCAAAAATTGTGAAGTTACCTTTGGAATTTTTGTTTGTACTTCCAAACACAGACCATCACTTCCAAAGGCGACTCGACAATCGACATCAATCCTTTTTTGATCGCCCGATATAAATATGTATACTAGTACATAAGAGAATAATTTTATAAAAGTACATATTAGCAAATACACCCATGATAACCTCGCAGTTCACCAAATAATTTTCGAAACAGTTTGAGTATCATATTAGGAGCTGCAATAAGATAATAACGATTAAAGTTCGCACGGTTAGGTACCTACCTATTTAGACTAAACTCGCAAAGGAAATCTCAAACTAACCTTTAATATGGCATGATAATGAACATTTTGTGAGTACTCAGTAACAAGGAGTAGCTAAAAATCGCACGATAACAGAATGGGGTCCTCAGTTCAGAAAACTAAAATAAAATACAATTCCCACAAATTAACTAACATTACGAAAAAGCCGGATACATTTAACTATATAAATATAGGTACCTACTTACAGGAAATTATTTCAAGTAAAATTTTATCAGAAAGAAGACTTACCAATTTACTCTTTCGAACTATAAGGATAACAACTCCCAATCTCCAAACAAATAATTAAAAAACTTCAATGTTAATTTATTACAAGCAAACTTTTCCACGTGCTACAATGTTTTTAAGAAAGTACAACATGGCGGATCGGTTTGGAATATAAAATAAAACGCGTTTACGTTCGGTTCGGTTAAGGTCGCCAGTAAACGTCAAGTTACAAGGTCAAATCGCAATTACAGGAAGTCTACCTTACCTTGTTTGGCAATTTCGACTGGAAAACTATTTGCGCCATCTAACAACTTGTGGAAAAATTGCTAACAGAAATACTACCCATAAGCTGCGGTTCGTTAGTCTACCCGCCAACTAGATGGCGGAAGGATATATATATATATAAATACATTTTATGCTTTATGGCCACTACTAGCATTGTTTAAATAAAGTATTTAAACACTGCCACTACCTATCTATTTTTACTGTTTTATACCAAAAATGAGAAAAATGTTGAGTCGTTGACTCGTTGCTAATGATTTAACGGGTTTTAAATAAAAGATAATCGGAAGACTTTGACAATGTTTTGTGCGGAAAAGCATTCGCGCCGAAAAGTTCGCGAAAAATCGTTTTATGAGAATCCTATAGCCCTCATGGAAAATTCGCCCGTGTGTATTTCTGTGCCAAAATTCGTTATGACAAATTTGTCTCCAAAGTTGTCACCAGGCAAATTTACACCGTGAACAATTTCTCCGAAATATTCATGCCGGAAGGCCAAAACCAAAAAAATTTCCACTCCCTTAAGAACACTTATTTGAAATAATTACTATTCACTCAATTGTAGAACTCCATTTTGTTTCTTTGACAAAATCAGATTCCGAAACTTCACCCCTCAGTAAAACTGTTTAAACATTCGTTATTGCAGCACCCTCTCTCTACTGTTTGGCGGAATATTAAATGTTTACTGTGGACTTATGAACGACTAAACAATAATTAATTTTTAAGGTGGCTATTAAAATCAAAACCTACTTGATTGAAATGAAAAAAAACCATTAATTTTACTATAGGAATTTTTGTTTATACATCTTTGATAAAGGAATACAAAACTCTTGAATTACATTTTGAGTGTCTCGAAATGAGAAACTTTGATCACTTTTACCCATTTACCCTAGTTTCGTTTTTCTATAATAGAAAATACGATTGATAGCGAATTTCTTTTTGGACTATTATAGCAAAAGAGCGTTTTTTCTTGGAGGAGATTAGTAGGCGACAAGTTTTTTTAAGGATAAGTAGGTATATTTCGGTTCCGAAACATTTCAAGAGCGAATTTTCCGAGGCACATTTACCGGAGCAAAACTTAATCTTACGCTTACACAAAAAATAAGTAGGAAATCAACTGGATCAGCAATCCATTTCTGCATTTTCTTAATTAACTTTTTAGTTGCGTATTTTATCATAGGTACGCACTTCTAGTAATTTGTGTGGAGTCTGTTACCTTGTGTTATGAAATATAGCGCCTAGGCTAGGATTGCTAGGAGATACTTTTTTAGTGTCAAAAATTTCGAAAGTACAAATTTTTGCTTTTTCATTACTTCTAATTAAACCCTAGCCAAGGAGTTATTTTTTCATAAGATACCTAAGGATGGGATAGAGAAGTACGGTGTCGAAACGTCTATGGAAGCAACAACGTATATGCAGTGCATTCCTTATATTCTGCTCAAAAGAAAAATGCTTGTAGGTACATATTTAAAATGCAATTTCCACATGTGGAAAATAAACTCATACGCACGCAAGACCGCGATCAACATTTTATTGGTGTAATTCGCTTAAATAATATTACCTTGCAGACCACAGCTTCTTAAATATAAACTTACTTTAGTATTTTTGTTTAAACCCTGGTTTAAACAAATCAAAGTATCGCACGCCTTTCTAGTTTTTTAACAACATTGAAGTTATTTGAAAAAAAAATGTATCTATCTTTACTCGAGTAGAATTCCAAATATGTACAGTTCAAAAGTTTTTTTAGTACTGTTAAACTCAATTTTTTTCCATGAGTAACCTTATTTGCACAGATTGATTAGAACAACTTTCTATCTTTTAGGGAAGATTGTGCTTGAAATGGGGTGTGTGTGTGGGTGAAAGGGAAAGATTTCTTCTGCGATCTTATAATATTGAAACTATGAGGGTTGAAAAAAAGGCTATTTGGTGTTTCTTTGATTAGGCTCTGCAGCCTAAAAAAATAGATCATAAAAGACAATAGGCCGATTCAATTTAGCCTCAAAATACTGTATATTACTCACGGAAAAAACCGCCACCCTGTATAACGTGCACCGTTAACTAGACTGTCAGTGGATAAATACAAATACGCGAGGAAAATATTAATTGATCTTTTGTATGAACTTCTAGATTCGTGTTAACATGATGATGTTTTTATATATGTATTACTTTTACTAGAGTCGGTATTTAAACTTAGAATGAGATCAGTTATTTTAAAATGTCTATTAGTGGTGTAGGCATGCCCTCCATAGTTCATTCACTCGAAATTGAAAACAACGCAAGGTGACTTGCGTGCGCAACGCCATTTCTTCGTTTGCCTATTTATAATTTTCGTTTATTTTTTTTCCTCACTATAAAAGAAACTTAAATTTTCGTAGTCACTTTTAAAAATGTATAGTTTCTTAACCTCCTTATTTCCATCGTCCGTATCTAAATAACGCATTTAGTAAATTCGTGCCAAAAAGCACGCACATTTTAAGGCCCTTGACCCTCTACCCTTGAATGTTAACCTCAAAAACTAGAATTGCGCAACGGTATTTTGGGCGAGTGAGAGGAACAATTTGTCAATTTCATTAATGGGAATTGTTGCTAACAATAATGGGCATGCACATGTGTAAGACAATGAGAAGAAAATGATACACGTGCAATCTTTATTGCGGAAATGTTTTTGCAATGCTATACTTATAATAAAACGAACGCGTAGCGCGCACCGCACCGATCAATAAGCGACGTCTCGTTCAAGGTAGGGCGATGCCATGTACAACGCCACCCTCGACTCTCCTCCCAAGGTCAGCGCCCTGACCCGACGCTGCCGATTGACCTCGTTCCACACTCTACAGATGCGCACCGCCTTGTCTACGTGAATAGACCGAAAAGAATACGTTGCTATTTTCGCACAGCCATTAAGAATTAACCACTGTAAAGATAACGTGGTATTTGCACGAGAAATTAGCAATTATTAGTATTGGTATTGCCTCCATACCAAGAACCGGAATTTTGCAAAGCCTGCGTAGCATGCATTTGAAAATTCAGGATGGCTACCATTAAATAACATTTCCTAAATTTATGTTGCTCAATAACAGAGCCATAATGCCCATATAGTAGGAGGGGGATCTGCTCTTGAAAATTGGAAAATATAAACAAATCTTCATTATATGTTTAAATAACATAATTATTTCGGCCTTATCCGAATGTGACAGCCTTTTAATTTACTCCCGTGAAGGTAGTCGTGCAAAATATGAAGCGCGAAAATGAATGAATACAATATGTGTAGGAACCTAGTTCAACGCACCAAAATTAATTGTCATTGTACACGTCTTGCCGTTTTTGGAAAATACGATTCCAAAAAAATGACTACCAAGTTCACCCTATGCTTTACACAGTGCACTTTAAGTAAGAATCGCAGTATAGAATTTATTATAGATGAGTAAATTTACCTCTCTCCCATTATGCGTCGCTGCATTTTTGCATTCAACGTGAAATTTCAGTTCTTTTGATACCCACATGTCGATTTCTACAATTTGTGGTTTTTAAGTTACTTTGACTTTGAAAAAAATGACGGATGCAGGCGGGACTTACGGTTTGAAAATTGATTAGTTGAAAACGATTGTTGTTATGCCAACCCATTTATACCAGTGAACAGAGAAAGAATAGGACTTCTTTTTTAGTGTACCTACTTAAAAACAGTTAAGTTGCGTACGACCTATGGAGGTTCAAACTTAAAAAACTTCAAAGACTAAAAACTCAATTTTTGTAATGCTGCATGATAGAGAATCAAAATTAACATATTTTGATATTACATGTTCCTATAATAGCTATCTGACTGATTCCCATTTCATTCAATTGATGCCATTTTCTTTGGACTTTTTTTTAATAGTCTCCTATGATTTTATGTGAATTTTGTGAACAAAATGACCCATGTTTATTGAAAGGTCTTATATTGAATGTCAAGTTTTTAGTAGAAGCGGTTGTGCTTGTGTCCCTTTTGGAATTTTCAAAAGTCGGCGTCTAAGTAGCCATGGACTATGTTTTTCTTTTATCATAGTCCATGGCTACTTAGACTAAAAACTCGTGAAAACAGAATCTTTATAATTAATTTTTTCGCGTAAAAGAAGAGGTAGAATAATCGTTTCACACGATTTAGATGCCGAATTTATATCTCTATAACTTTTATTTGAAGTATTTTTGCGTAAAAAATTAGGAAACGTTTGCGCAAAGAAAAAGTCATTTCCCATGTTAAACGCCTATGTTCCACTTTTCGATTTACACCCTGTACTTTTCTTTTATATATGTAGATCATAAATGCAAAATAAAGCCAGGATGACAGGTGATAACAACATGCAATGAGGTACGTGGTGACCCAAACATTTTTGTTCGGTCGGGTGAGGGAATAGTAGATGTAGCGATACCGCAGCGTGGGAAAATTCCGGAGACCGGGGGAAAATATTTTGGCAATTGGCCCGGGGTAATTTTGACATTGACATTGGACCCATCAAAAATCAATCTTTGAACCCATATAAGATGGTGGGCCGCCATCTTGGACGCTGGACCCATATTGGATGTTCGACCCATTCTAGTTAGAGATTGAATTCAATAAGTAAAACGGTGTAAGAATTTCTGTGGCAGAGATGGGAATTTCCTGAGATCAATTTCGAACATTCTGCCGGCTACTCCGAATTAGGTTTTCCTGCAGTTTTCCCAATTCGTAAAGTAAATACCGGAGTTGTGATCTTCTGCTGGGGCACCTCTAAAAAGCTGCGGGTCACTCAGTCATTGGGCGCATGTTGAGGGCCCAGAACAAGAGAGGGATAATAAATAAATAAATAAATTACATATTACAGTACAAAATTTGACCCGGGCCAACTGCCGAAATATTTTCCCACGTTCCTCAGAATTTTTGCCA